GATGGAGACTAAAATAAAATGCTTGACATCTTTTGCATTTTTTTCAAAAACAGAACTATGTAATGTGATTTCATTACATATGTTCAATATATTCGGAAAAAGCGTACAAAGTTTTGTTCAAACAAATAGCCCATAATTAAATATTAAGAAAGATTGAAGTTCAGATTTATTTGTTTGAGTTTCCTAATTTCGCACATTTTTCTGGAAATAGATGATAAACTACATTTGCAAATTTTTCGAGTTTGTCGTCAACAAAAAAAAACAAAAGGTGAAATTTGCTTAAAAAAGTGCAAAGTCGAATTATTTTAACGTTATTAACGACAGGCGCGGATCCAGGGGGGGGCAATGGGTGCAATTGCTCCCCCCCCCCCCCCGACACACGACCGAGGTACTTTATTTTGACCAATTTCAAAATTTCGAAATCGCATTTCATTTTGTAAATACAGTACCTACAACCTCTATAATCCGAATTCACGATTACCCGAACATCCAGTAATCCGAACACAGGCTATTTGAAGTCGATGCTTGTTTAATTCGAACAAAAACTCTACAATCTGAACTGAACTTGGAAGCACGCACCTACTTGCAAAAATTACGCAAGATCTTTCTACATATGTTGTATGGAGTATTTTGATATTTTTAAAAATTGCCATATTTCAATGCACTGAATTAATTATGTAATTCTAGAAAAAAGGTTGAAGTTATCGAAGAAATTAAAATTAAAAAATTTAATTTCGAAAATCGTCGAAAATGGGTCGAAATTTGCATAAGGAACATTTCATTTTTGAAAAAATTTCCTAAAAATTCTGAAAAAATTCAGGGATATGTATATCCCGACGTGCTGATTCCAAAAATATAGCATGTTAATGGTAACCGAGCAATACATATTTTCGAAAATTCGGTGTGAAATTCGAATTTTTCGAAATTTTTAAAAAGTGCCATAAGTACTTATTTCAACTGGACGAATCTGGAAAAAAGGTTTAAGTTATCGAAGAAATGAAGCCATAAGTGACTTCTGAGGTCCAAAATCTACAAGAAAATGTATTTAGTTAAATTTAGAAAATCGTCCAGAATACATAATGGAAAATAACATTTTTGAAAAATTCGTCTAAAAATTCTGAAAAAATTCAGGGTATAGATTCCGGCGTGTTCATTCCAAAAAGATAGCGTGTTTATGGTCACGGAGTAATATTTTTTTAGAATGTATCTATTATCCAATGTAATTTTATCGTTACACGTATAGTGTACAGTAAAACCTCGATAATCCGAATTAATTGGGAAAAAGGTGTGCTCGGATTAACGATTTGTTCGAATCAGCGATTTTCCAACAATCTGAAAGGAAATTGAATAACAATTTCATACACAGTTGAAAACAAACTTCAAGAAATAAACCTTAATTTTATTAAACAAAATTAAAGAACTTAAGAATTTTTAATTAAAGAACTTAAGAATTCAGTTCTTTAATTTTGTTTAATAAAATTAAGGTTTATTTCTTGAAGTTTGTTTTCAACTGTGTATGAAGTGGCTATTACGTGTAACGAAAACAACCAAATGTCACCCATGTTATGTGAAAAAGAGTATACTAGTTAAAATTTTATAATTTTTTTGTTTAGAACGCATTTCTGGGAGGTAAAATACCACAAAAATTGCCCCCCCCCCTAAACGAAATCCTGTATCAGCGCCTGATTAACGATATTAGAATAAGATTAAGATTTAGGTAAGAAAAATTCAAATTCTATTCGTAAATGATCCAACATAAAAGTGTCAATGACATTAACGTTCTACAAATGTTTCTTATTTATATTGGTGAAAACATTACCAATACAATTTTTACCCCTTGTTCGAAAATTCACTACTATGTAAATCACAACTAACAATTCGCAAGATCATATCATTTGTCTTTTATTGAATTACGACTTAGAAAATTTCTATTAAAATCGCCCCCTGCATTATGCTAACGGCTAATTTCATGTTTTCTCGACGTTTCATAACCCCTAGAAAGATTATAAAAAAATACTCACAAAGGAAAGTCTTCCTCTTTACGTCTGTCTGTTGTCTGTCGTCTGTGGTTCAAACGATAACAAAAATTTGTCTGATCATTCCCACCAATAATTTGATAACGTCATCTTAAAATTTTGGTAAGTAAATTCCATTTAAATAAAAAAATAACGTTATTATACATACATGTATATTATTGTATATAGCGGGTGTCTGGAAAAATAGTAAAAAAATTCCTTCTCACATTTTGATGGAGTTATAACGATTTTAAAATTGGTTCTTTTGCTACTAGTCTAGCTGAGCTCCAGCTACGCCAGCCGCGCTGGGCTTAGTGAATCCTCAGTCCTTGTATGTTGGATCGAGGAGACTCTCTGTACAAAATTCGAGGTCTGGTCAATTACATACAGGTAGCCGGCCACTGGCTCTTAGACTATACGTTTAATAACTAAATAACTACTGTCTTTGCTATTTCTATTGTAACTAAATAACTACTGTCTTTGCTATTTCTATTGTAACACCACTTGTTGATTTTGCTTAAAATTTAGCAATTGGTAACAGCTTTCGGTTGATTGACAACGGCTTTTAGTTAGAAAATTGTCTGAATATGAACGTTGCCAAATTTACGCTCAACAAGTGGTGTTTCAATAGAAATGGCAAAGACTATAGAACACATTTATTATCACAATAACTAGTAATAAAACTTTTAGTTAATATTTCTCTCGCCAGTGATCATGTTTTATTACTATTTCAGTTAGAACGTACAAAGATAATATGGTTATGTTGTTTTTGTAATAAATTGATAAAATTCCATTTGACAACAATGTTTGCCTGATGTAAAACGAAGCTACAAATCAGCAAAAATCGAGTAAGCAGTTAAAAATGTTTGACGTATCAAAAAATGTCAAACTTTTCAAAACCCTACGTTTACAATGTTCGCAATTAACTTTAGCTCCCCTGGTGTTTTATTTTCGAATAAATTTAAAAGAATCTGATAACAAAACACCAGATGATGAACTTGAAAAAATTTTTTCAGCTTTTAGTGTTTTAATTTTTACGAATTTGAAAAAGTCTTGAGTGTCGCAGTGTTTTTTTTTTTTTAATTCAGGAGACTCTTAGGTACCTATGGTGTATTATTTTGGGAGCCCATGGAGATTTTTTTTGTAAATTATTTAAAACAATTTTGGGGGACTTTGGTGTTCTATTTTTGGAAAATTCTGACCTACCTGTTTTTGAGTTAATCTTGGGACCCCGTTTTTTCTTTTTGAAAAATTTAAAACAATCTTGAGGTTCTAGGTATTCCTGTTTGAAAAAAATTTGAAAGTACTTTGGAGACTTCAGTGTCTTTTCTTATAATAATAATTTGATTAAATTTCTTAGAGGATAGGTCATTTACTAAAATCAGTCTTATCTTAGCAGGTACTAACCCCACCTGCCCACCGTCTATTTTTTTAGAGAAAGTCATTTGCCAAAATCAGCCTCATCTTAGCAGGTACTAGCCCCGCCCACCCACCCTCTATTTTTTTAGAGAAAATCATTTGCCAAAATCAGCCTCATCTTAGCAGGTACTAGCTCCGCCCACCCACCCTCTCTTTTCTTGGAGGATCTGACATTTACCAAAATCAGTTTTATCTTAGCAGGTACTAACCCCACCCACCTACGCTCTCTTTTCTTAGAGGGTACGTCATATGCCAAAATCAGTTTTATCTTTAGTTAGTCATCAGTCCTTGATGACTAACTTTTACAAAAAATTATCTAAATTTAGGTTATTTATATACCCAAGGCAGAAATTTTGAACATTTTGTCTAATGTTTGGTTGTTATACTTTGATGGATTTTTCTTTTGTTGGTTTTGTTTCTGTTTATAATTTATAAATGTCTTATTGAAGATTTTTTTTGGTTTATTTATTAATGAAAAATAACAGCTTGTTTTATTAATAATAATGCACAACCATTAATGACTACTGGTTGTTACGGTTATTGTCCTAAAAAAAATAATAAAAGGTGGATTTCAGTCACTACCGTTACTAAGAAATCAGAAAAGAATCCGGAGGTTTCACGCATTAGATGCGTGCAATGGTGCCAATTTTATTTTTATAAAATTACATTTTTTCCGTAATCTACATCATAAAGAATTTTTTTATTTTTTTTTTGAGACTTCCTGACATAACGTATTGAAAAGTTAATCCTCGAGTATAATCCTCCATTTTCCAGAGAGCCGGTATAGTATAATTAAATATAGACAATGCATGTATTGCTCACAGAAATGAATTTATTATTATTATTTTATTTTTATTATTCCTCACGCAACTTGTACCGAGCTAAACAAAATCGCGCAACTAACAGCTGTAAGTAATCTTACAGTGTGTCAAAAAAATTTGTGGATCTATCAGTCAAGTCAAGATTAATATTCTATTAAAAAATTCCGACTTTTAACCTATTTTTGACTTATCATATGAAGTAGTTTTTCCAAAGTCTAACTGCGATGAAGTGATGTGATGAGTCAGTACCTAGGTCACCATTATTATCATGGCAACAGCTGATTCATAATAATAAATTATGTTCACGTTGATGTTCTCTGTGTATTATTATGACGTATTTCATTAGAGTACTCCACCTCAGTTTTGTACAAACATTAGGTAAAGTTGTTGGAATTAGAACGATTGTTGTGCAGCATACCGTATCTTTCCTATCTTAACCTGTCTATTTGTTCAAAAATGGGATCGAAAGTACTGGCGCATGTTGTAGAAATATAATAATAATAACAGTACTCACAGCATTTTTCAAAAAATCAATACAATCATAAATAATATATACTGCGTATTAGATGAGCTCTACGAAAACAAGTACCTAGCTTATCGGAGCGACAATGTTATTACGTATAACATGATTACAAAATCGATTTTAGTAGTTAACGATTACTTGATAAAAAGTAACCTTGTCGCCGGCTGTAATCTGTTAATCTCCGATTCCCTGAAGATCTAATCTATTTTTTTTTTGTTACAGATATGTTCAAAATCAGAACAATAATAATGATATTTCCCGCACCCGAAGACATTGTAGTGGTTAATAATAACTTGTGTAATTCCCATAAACACTTTGTTTACCAATACCTTTTGCGGACTGTGTGCTACAGTGATTAAGTGTTAGGCGAAGCAGACGTCACTCTTCCGTAGACGAAACCCATTAATAAAGAGGGGACTTCATTGTTTGTCGTTTCCTACGTCACGTGAGTGGGGGGTCCCACCTCTACATAAATATCCCCCCGGCTACTTTTCCAAATAATCAGTTTCGTGTGGTACGAGCGAGGAGGAGAGTAGCAAGCAACCTTCGGATCGTCGTTTTCTTTTTACTTTTTTTTTCATCTGCCCGCGTTGTATGGGTAAGTGGCACTTAAATTAAATTTCACTCATGTTTGTTTTTTTAATCCTGCACGTATTAAATTTACGGGTTTTACTGCTTTTATAAAAATTAACTACCAGTTAAAATGTTCGGGTGGGTTTAGCGGAGATGTTGATTTCGAGACGCAGTTGGCTTTTTATAGGGGTTGAACGACCTTGAGCCACCCGTCATTCTGAAGGGGTGTGTAGACTACAGTATCGCATAACGGTTATTTTAGTTGTCTTTCACGGAAACTGATCGATGGGTTTCGAGGAAATAACGCAAGAAATTCGATTTCGCGAATCGCGTGACGCATTGTTTCGCAATGTGTAGCGACATTGAGGCACGTGTAATACTGACGCATGGTTTGCCCCAGTTAATTGTCTCGTACGAAGTTCGATGACTTCCTGGAAAAACTACAAACTACAAGTGATTCGGAAAGTGTGGTCGTCTATCCGATGTGTTAACGTCGCAAAAAATTTGAAATAGATTTTTGGGGAAACGCCAAAGAAATGAATTCAGAATCGTAATAAGGTTTTATATTCGTGCGTTTTCTTGGCGACATTTCAACGTCAACAAAAATTCGCATTTATATTAGAGGGATAGAGGGCGACACAAAGAAAAATACATACCATGTGTTTATCTATGCAAATGAAAGTTTATTGCCGACTGCATTGTACATTTATACGTACAACAATCACATGTTTTAATGAGAGTGTACTCGAGGAGACGTTTTCAAGTCGCAATGTTTACACAAAAATTATTAAATTAGTTTGCAGAAGCGAAAATTAACGATCGTTGCTGCAATCAAGCAGTTTAGTAATTGGTTGTTTGCCAGAAACCGTTTTCTGTGCATTAAAATTTAACGTCTTTTGGGTATTCTTGGTTTATAAACAAAGCGCGGCCCTTATTTTTTACAAAATTTCCCTTTTGTTTGTTAACTGTTTAAAATACAAATAAATTTAAAATTACAAAAAACTATTACTAAACTAAATATGTATTCTTACTAATTTTATATACTTTCTAGTTCTACCCTACAACGTACTCCCACTAGGAGAAAAAGATTCTTTTTCTTAAAGGACATACTTATTTTTTAAATAAAAGTAACATTTTTATTTTTGATGTGTTTAATACTAGATTATGTGTTGGAAACCACTCAGAAAGACTAGCTATATTCCGTTTCATTTGTCGTATTTGAAAAATCTGTTAAGTTAGTATCGTATTTAAAAAAGTTCTGTCATCATAGCAATAGAAAAGTGTACGTAATATTTCAAATGTAATTCTTTGACCAATAATATTTTATGAAACGATTTTTATTTCATGTTCCTTTTCAGAAAAAAAAAACCATTACGCGGCTGTTATTGGAAGCCATGTATCTTTTACGATGCTTGTTAGTACCTACATATTGCGAATCATTTTTAATTCTTAGTGAATGTTTAACAAGCTTCAGTGTAGTGCAAGCAGCCTTCAAATTAAAACAAACCCTTCAAAACATTAGGATATTCCATAAATGTAGTTGTCTACATTCTATACGTATTATATAAAAGTAGTACTGTTCACTTGAATTTACTATACGCAAGCCAAATTTATTCATGGTTAATTGTCAGCTAACGCATATCGGGTCATACGTAAACTGCGGCGCAACTGCATTGATCTTCATTTTTATACCGTGTAAATTGCGTATAATAAAATCAAGTATTAACCCTTAGCAGGATCGCACGTTTACATGTAATGACTGGAAATTATTGGAAACCCATTTCGTCTTCGTCATAAAACGTACCGGATCTCTGATGGTTTTTCTGCAAAACAGCGACATTCACCAAATTAAAAAGAATTCTATTTCCACTAATCTCTAGCATGTTTTATTATAATGCCCAAGAAATACTATTACAAAACTAATAATGTAATTTCATTATAATTTTTTTTTCAAAGGCACAATGGTTGCATTTATAGATTTCCCAATAATCCAAATAAAATTATTCTTATCGTTGTCGCACTAACAAAAACTTTTGCAAGGGTACCTGCATACCGCTGCAGATTACATAGACCTTTCTCGGATAATATCCGCCGCAGTTTACATGTAAGGACTAAAATCTAAATATGTTCCCAGTTTACATTTGCTGCGCATTTCGTATGTTCAGGTTAAGGACTATTGTTTATAATTGCATAAGAGACAGCCGCAATTTATTTTGCAGCTGTTGCTACTAATTGCTGTAATTCTAGTTATTGATATTCATGTTTTCAAAATAAACATGTTGTGAATATAATAAACAATCAAATTAACTGATCACTTAAAAACACTTGTTACAATTTCCTTCTAATCTTGTTTGTGTATAAATTCTTGTTAAGTAGTAAGATATCGAAATCACTTTGTGTCTGTGTCAAAGCTTAGCCGTAACAAAAATAACAAACTAATAAGAATCGTTTATGGTTGTTTTCGCCTAACATTGCAATTCTTGGACCATATCTAACAAAAAATTTTTAGTGCTGTGCAAAAAAAAAGATTATATGAGATTTCATTAGCGCAATATGCATATATCAATTTTAAAAACAATTCTCATGGTGACAGCTCCATAAAGGTCACATTTCTAAATTAATTTTCTTTTCCATACTACGTTCATAACAGTTTTCTCATTAGGTATTATACAGTTTTTATAGCTGGAAATGCAATATCGTAAAATAAAGTGCCGTTATAATTCCGATTGCGGGAAATTTGTATATCGAAGTAGCAAATTTTTTTTTTTAGTTACTAAGGCGAAATTGAATATCACTAACATGAGCACTTTCTGTTCTTATCGACAGAATTTGTATAAAATTTGAAAACATAGTTTTTCAGCGTCAGAATCGTTCATTCATGAAATTTTAATGTCTATTTCAGATAACAGTTATTTGTTGTCACTTTCAGATAACAGTTATTTGTTGTCACTTTCAGATGAGGTTTCTGAATGAACTTCAGCTGCAGAAATAATACAATAACAAGGCCGACGTTGCGATTCATAATGATGACAGTTTCGAAAGGGAAAAGTTTAGTTTTCCAACTCTAAAATTTCGCCGGACGCAGCGCTCAACCTTGACAATTCATTGTGCGATAAAATGAATTTTATCTATTATGTATAGCCACCGTTATTTGTTCGTAAAAGCAAAAGGTTGTTTCTGAGCAACTACATGAAACCTTGGTGTTTGATGATTTAGATCAAACTTCTAAAATGTACATCACTCTCAAAAACTAGCTACCTAAAAATAGGTGGTCTAAATTTACATCATCTTGATTAAATCCGCACTTACTAATGCGCATTTTATCCTGTTGCTATATGTGCCTGAAACCGCACTAGCCATAAGAGTATTACATTCTATTAAATTTTATACTGCAAACCTTGAAATCAACAGATTCCGCATTTTTCTTTTTCCAATCATCAAATAATTCTTCCGTAAACACAACCCGATCACCTTCTTTTTTGTTTAGAGCGTGAGAAACAACCGCAAGTGAGTACATCGCCGTGTCCAGCTGTTTACGATGCAGCTGTACAGCCTGCCCATCATGGGGCTTCCAACTGCTGGGGCGTGGTGCTCCCCGTCGGGGAGACGAGCGCTGAGCGTTCCTACTTGCCCACGGTCGGCCGCTGGGGCTGCGAATGGCCGAGTTGACTCGCACAAGCTGAAAGCTGGGCCCCAGATTGCGCCCTCCTAGGGGGGCATGCCGTGCCCCCCGTCAAGGGGGCTGACAACAACAATGCCGACTTGCTCGAGCTCATCGAAAGAACGCAAATAGAAGGACCATGGCCCATTGATCATCCACTGCCGTTGCCCAGATGGGCCCTCAAGCCCAAGGATTTCTACCAGCTGGGGTCCCTCACCCAGTTCGAGAAGCTGGCCGGGAGCATCGAGATGCACGTGCAGAGGCTGCTGGAGGAGCACAATTATAACACAGTTGGCAATTTCATCAAGTTGTATCAAAATTTTAAGAAGAGTGGATGTTGTAGTTTCTTCAAGTTTTTCCAGATGTAAGTGGCTGTCAAATTTTGTAATTGCTACGCTGTGTAATAATGAATCAGAGTCAAAGACGATTTCTTTTATTAACTCAAACTAACGTAAAAAAAGTTGAATCAGTAGGAAATTTTTCTAACGGAAAGAGGACTATCGTTACTTTTGCTTTTGAGTAGTTAATGTTTGCCTTATGTTCTGTACCCAAAGCTCAAAGACAAGGTTTTGTCGAGGTAAATAACTATGACGGCATGAATGGGGCAGCAGACGAATTGTTCTTCGCTTTGTTAGAATCGCCTTTGAAGCCAGCTATACAAGACAGAGACACGTTTCTTTAAAGCCGGAACCGGATAGCTTTTTGTGCTTTCCTTTGAATGAATTTTCTCTTGCAGTTATGCACCTCCAATCACTCCAGCTCACCATACTTGTGTCGGTTTGGCGTTAGAGCTATGGAACCGCTTGCATCAACTAGAAGTGAGCTTTCCTGAACTTAGCAAGCACCTTTACCTAGTATCATGCGAAGAAAACATCGAGGCCTTAAGTGAATACACCGCTTTAAGTGAAAGATTAGACACTGCCGCTTACGATTTAGAAAAAGAACACGTCCTGCTATGTCTAAAATTCCAGATCAATGAACGTCAGGGATTGTTACTTTGTGACCCTGGTTATCATGTTAGTCGAGTAGTTACAGTCATGCAAGACCGAGCATATCCTAATACCGGTTGGTAGAAACCTTATACCTACTATGCGTCCTTTTCTACGTATTTTTTATAGGTTGGTTTATCCAGTCTGAGGAAAATAACATCCGTAAAGAATACAATTACCAATTTTCCCCCTTAAACGACAAATTTGTGGAGTGGAACGAACGGACCACAAGAAACGGAATTCAAGAAACATTTACCGGTTTAATTTTCACCGCCCACCCCTACATGACAGCGATCGATGTAACTGAACGCAGAAATTTAGTTTACAATTTCAGAAGTTTATTATCAAGGGATCCAAAAGGACATTTGATAGCTGGGATTTATTTCAAAGTTAAAGAGAATTGCGACGAATTTACCATCTTTTATCAAGATATGGGCAAACAGAGGATGAAAATGAAATTTTCGAGCTTCACTCAACCATTCCAAGTAAAATCCTTCTGATTAAGTCATAAGATTAGTTTCATTGTTCTAATTTCAGATAAGAGAAAAGGCGCTTAACATCATCACAATTTGCAATGAGCAATTAAATCTTCCCGAGGGTTCGCTTCTGAAAATTTTAATAGAACTGGGAGAACTGATGAATGATAAATTGTATTTGCGACAGCTTTTGGAGGTTAATGATAGTATCAACATCATGTCAGCTAACAACTAGCATATAGCAAATACAGATTTTCACTTTCGTTCGAGGTTCTTTTTCTTTGCTGTTATTGGGTTGTTGTTTGTACTTTTTATTCATTTTAGTTTAAGTTAGTTAGGTTTAAAAATATTATTTAATCAAATTTAATAACTACTTACTTTTAAGTAAATTTATAACGTCATAACAAATACCTAACATTAATGGAAAACATATATAAAAAGGCTTGTATTGTTTAACACTGTACACTGCTATTGCTAGTAGAATAGACTGGAAGCTTGACTCTATGTTTTCTTTCATTTGCAGTACCTTCCCTTTAATCACGCTTCTATAATTCTAACCTTTTTACAATGCAAGAAAAATTTTAACACTGATATTCTTTGCCAGTTGAAGTTCCTCATTTTTTCATAACAAATATTATGTGAATTTTTAATCAATCATCACAGTTTTAAGCCATATAGTGTAATTCACACGTTTTCTGAAAAATTATAATAATAAAAATTACTTGATAAAGAGTGTAATTAATTAATTGGCTTTTTAAAAACAAATACAATCAATAAAATTTCAATATCTTGCAAACGTAACTTTGCAATTAGACACTCTGATCTTCGGCAGGTAAAATCCAAGAGAACTTTTTGTTTAAGAGGGTCATCTTTCCTTGGCGTTGCGCAGATCCAAAATGTAGGTTTTCCATTTCCCTCCGTTCACTCTGTTGATTGGAAATTTTCGAAGAAGTAATTTCCGAGCCATCATACTAGGTCATCTGAAGTTTCAAGTGCATTTTAAGATTTTTTGAAGATGGTATAAAATTTTATGGGAAATTTCACAACTGAAATAACTTACATGTTTCCTGTTTGAATAAAAATAACCTTTATAAACAAGATGGTTTTTTAGAATGGGAAGTTATAGTTTGGCTAAAGATATAATGCGGTTACCGCTTAATTGGTATTCAACTTTTGGTAATTTTTATGAGTTCGTCACAATGGAGGAAGTAATTCGCTTGCCTGGCCAACACGTTCCATTTTTTCAATATGGGAAATAGCCTACAAACTGTCTGCATACCGTGTTACTACTTCTATTTACTGAATTATATGAGGGATTCACTGTAAAATGCTTATGAAGTCACAGTCGTCAAGACACAATGTATACCTTTAGTCTTAGTTTTGTCTTTTTAGGTTTAGAAGATATTGAGTAATTTTTTAATGGTATTCTTCTGTGATTTAGGTAAGTATGTGAGATTTTTTGTTGTATTAATTTTATCTTTGAATAGGTATTATTATAAATATAAAAATATCTTCAATAATTTTGAAACTAAAAGTTTGTATTTACGTACCACGTAATTTATAAGAATTTCTGTCAGTTTGTTTGTTAAAAACGAACTAGATTGAATAAATATTTGCCGCTACTAAAAAACATAATAATAATAATAATAACTGTAATAACCCAAACCACAGTAGCCCAAACATTCCACCAAAATTGGGGCATGCGCAAAAAAATATGAAATACGCGGAAGATTTAAAATTCAGCCACAAGCTGTGATCGTCAACAAAATGGAAGACCTACGTTGTTTTGAAATCGTGGAATGCATTCATAGCAAAAGTGGTGAACTCCAAAAATGAACAAGTAGCTTTATATGTATTAAAATGCAAAAATATGGAGGGGGCTGAAAAGCAACTATCAAAGTAGGTAATGATGAAATCCCGGCAAAAATGAGGACAAGAAAAAACCGCATGAACTTCAACATAGTTTCAAAACGGAAATTTGAACAGCGAATATAAAACGTTGCAATTAATATGTATAATACATACAAATGATCAAAATATTTGTGTGTTGGTTTCAGTAAAATACAGAAATGCGCAAATAAAAATGAATTCGGTTTGCTACAAAATCGATAGCATATTATTATTGCATAATAATAAATATTACGTGCTGTATTTTACAAAATACAAATTCCTCTGTTGCCAAGTTGCCATGCAATAAAAATATGTAATTATTTTCAGAACTTGCGTAAATGGTGACTATGTAAAATAAAGTAACAATTTTACACTAATTGAAGGTACAAATATGTAGAACGTGAAAAAGTTTAATGCTAGTGGCGATTAAACTACCAGTCAAAACGGTAAAACAAAAATAATACGATTAATATAAACAAATCTTTATGGATACTAGAGAAAGATCACTAGCTACTGACTGCAAAAATAAATTAATTATACGACAAACAGTGACAAGATACATGTAGTTCTGATTTGCACGAATTTGAATCCACCAGGAAAGTGGAAAATCATGTTGAGCCTAATCAGATATCTTTGTTAATACAATCAGCATTCCAAATTAATGGCGCATCAGCACGATTTACTCTTTAGAAAGTAAATATTCAATTTTCGTCGCATATTGTTACACATTACGCATTTCAAATCAATACTCGTTATAATATTGATTGACCACGTGACGAAACAATACTGTTCGTTAACCATCCTCCGCACAATCTCTTTGTCTGTACATGTAGGTATACGTAAAATATATTATTCAGTCTCTCAGTCAGCACATGTTCAGGTTTCCAGATAGAGAAGGGGTTACGTCTTACGTCAGAGTAAAAACACGATTTTACGACAGTATATCGTTCTTATATACATATTTTTTAAATAAGGTACACATATTAATCACGATACAATGGAAGTATCTACTTTATCAACGATAACCTTTTTTAAATACTTTGAAACAAGATCGTATAAAATAAAATATACTAGTAGATTGCCTAACATTTACAATTTCAGTTCATTATCATTCTTGTTTTAAAACAAATTCATATGTACATGCTGGGTTTCACGTCCTTTATGATTTATACAAAAATAATTTTAGTTCTTCTCTTAAATATAAAAATGAAGTTGATCCCACTTAAAATAATCTTTTCTCATAGGAAAACAGACTGTGAACATTCCCTTCCAGTTGTGCAGAATGAGATCTCAGTTCAAATCTTAGATCTCCAGAATCAATCATGGATCTAAAATATTCACAAAATAGATGATACAAAATTACGTGGAAACTGATAATACCTTAGTTTGATTAGCGATTTTACTCCTATATCTTGGCATCCATGCCTAAGTCCACATTGTAAATACGGAACAAAGCGAAATACTGAACCTTTATCGACGATACTACCACTAACACCTTGCGCTACTTTTAGTTTATCTGCATTACTATGGAAATATCTGTTCATCGCTGAACCTTGAGCATCTTTTCTATCCATAGCTTCTATACTTCCCATTCCTCTATATTTCTTTAATCTGACTCCATCAGAAAAGTAATATTCACCGGGAGCTTCTGAAGTTCCCGCCAACATAGAACCCATCATCACTATAATAACACCATTAGTAACATATTGAAGACAGTTTCTGAATATCTACTTACCAGATGACGCTCCTAAAGATAAAGCTTTGATAATATGACCAATAGACTGAATGCCACCATCTGCTATGACTGGCACGTTAAACTTTTTGGCGTACTGTGAGACTCGATAAACGGCAGTCGCTTGAGCTCTCCCTACTGCCATCACTTCCTGGGTGATACAGATGCTTCCACTTCCCATTCCTACGCGTAAAGCATCAGCACCAGCATCAATAAGATTCTTTGCTTGTTTGACAGTGACAACGTTCCCTGCTACCACTTGCAAATTCGGGTATGTTTGCTTAATAAACTTTATCATGTTAATCTGATATATTGAATTGCCTTGGGAAGAATCCAAAATAATAACATCAACTCCAGCAGTGACCAGATGTCGAAGTCGTTCTTTGTCTTCGTCACGTGTACCAATGGCTGCCCCAACAATCAACTGTTTATTATCATCCTTGGATGCAGTAGGGTAACTTTTCGCTTTTTTCAGATCTGTGCGTGCCATTAACGCGACTAGATTTCCTTCCGCGTTGACGATGGGAAGTTTACCTTTTTTGCTTTTAGCAAGAATGGAATTGGCTTCTGGAAGTGTTACTCCCAACTGAGCTGTAACGAGATCGTCTAGCTTTGTCATAATCTGTGGAAAGTAGATTTAGTGCAAGTTTTTTTTTTGTGTAAAATCAACTCACACTTTCAAGCTTGGTATTAACATAATTCTGATCTTCTAAAAAGTCCAGATCTCGTGACGTAACTATTCCGACGAGCTTGCCGCCCATTTTTCCGTCTTGTGTGATTGGAATGCCAGAGAAGCCTTGTTCTTTTTTAGTTTTAAGAACATCAGCTACCTAGAAATGTGTGACTAATGTTTTTGAGGTTGATATAATTGAGAAAAGTGTACCGTATTTGTAGGACACAAAACGACGGGGTTATGGATAAATCCGTGTTTATATTTTTTTACTTTAAGTACTTCATTAGCTTGATACTCTGGCGAACAGTTGTGATGTATAACGCCGATACCACCACAGAGCTTAAATTATAGATAGTGAGTACAGAATCTTAAGAATTTACAAAAAATATACAGCCATAGCTATCGCCATCGCCGCCTCTGTGACCGTGTCCATTGGTGAAGAAACGAGTGGGGCTTTTAGTGTAATTTTTTTTGTTAGTTGGGTTGTTAAATCCTAAAATATGGAAAGTTAATTGGATGTATTTTCTAATGAGTGCGGATCAAACTCACCACAACATCTGGCGTAAAATCAATATATCCGGGTAGTATTATAAAGTCGCTGTTCAAAGAGAATATTTTAAAGTAGACAAAGTTAGAGAAGTAAGATATCGACTTACTTGTAAGTGAGACCATGGCCGTTATTCATCATTTCTTCGGCGGAGAGGCCGTCTTCTAGTACGTTATTATCGGAATGGGCCATCTAAACAAAAATATTACAAATATTACGTTCTCTGTTTATCAAATAATGTATTAATCACTTAATTATGCAAAACTTCTTTTGCTTATTTGATTACCGTTCTATTTTTAGTAGAATATATAGGGCAACTGCCAGTGTAAATAAGACAATGTTTGGCGGCTTCTTTTAATAGGTGTTTGCGTGAGTGAGTTAATACGACATATTTCCGTGGAAATTAATAAGTCAACAAAGAGCAAAAACGTCCAGGAGTTAATAGAAACAATAAAATATGCGGATATGAAATCAGAAATAGTTGTATGTAGTCAAGCTAAACCAATGAAATAACTTCCTCTCTCACTTTACAAAACACAAATATAACAAACCAACAGAAACTTTATAACGCAACTAAATTTACTACATATATATCTTTAAACAGTTGGCTTTATGCAATATAATACTTTCTTTATCAGACTTTGATACAAAGAAGAATTTGCGCTTATCTCTACCTATAGGTCATAACAAAATATCAAAAACATTTTTGAACACCTGTTGGTAATTTCAACAACTATTTGTACGTTAAAACTGCCAAACCGGTAATTAAAATATTTTCTTAAAAAATGTTTTGCGACATAAACGTAAATACAAAGGAGTACGCAAAAGATTTTTCGAAGTGGGCGTTAAGTTACCTATTTTGTTAAGCAAAAATTGCATTCATATATTCGGAGACTTAGAAAATTTTAAATTAAATTTATTTATACAGCTGCCGCAATAAGAATTCCCCACAGATTAAATCAAAACAAAAAAAAATCCGGCCGGCAAAGTAAAAAAAAGCCATTATTACAATTAGTAACACTTCCTTATAATTATGGATATTTGACGCAAAAAGGATATTTCACCTAAAATTGCATTCCATTGTTTTAATTTTTGCGTAAAGAAATGAATAGCGAACCACGTGGAACAGCTACGAAAAAGCCGCTATACTAATAATTGAACACGATGATTTGGAATTTCTGCGTTGAAGCAGGGCATTGCGTGCTTATAAATACTTTAAACACTTAATTAAAGCCATGAAGATTACTTACGGTGATTTGGTCGTGAAAAGCAAATAGAAAAGCACAATCTTTGGGAGTATTCTGAATTCGGTATTTGAACGTTCAATCACGTCGGCTGTTTGACGTAAAAGACCGAGGAGTTTGGAGTGCAATCGAATTCGTAGTCACCCCACCACACATCACAATTTTATCCGCGCCATCTATACCACTGTATGTTAACAAACTGTAAATATCTACTGTTCCTGCTGGTGCGACGATAACATTCGATAGAGAGCGTTATAATATATATATTTCACTGCATATTTATGTATATATTTAAAATTGTAAAGTGTAGATTTTAGATTCATAGCACCTGATATAATAATTATCTTTTATTTGTTTTAGCACTTAAGTATTTTACTCCATTCTTTTCATCTCTCTAAGTTATTTTTACCCATTGGTCTTTTTTTCTATGCCTAATAACAGTGGCGGCTCGTGACTGTCTGATGTGGTAAGGCGATGATAGAAGTTTGACAATAATATTATCAGTGGCGGCTGGTGGGTCAAAATTTCGGGTCGGCCAAATATTTTGAGTCTACACCTTGGTGTTATATATTTTCGTAATGTATGGCTGCTACTCATTAACCACTGACATTTTACGTGCCAGGATGTACAAAACATCTCAAATGTTTCGACCTGTTAAAATAATTTTTTATAGGAAATTGACAATGTCAGTTTGATTCCAAATACTATTAATCCTTAATTCTACTTGTTCTGCTTTATCATTAATTGAGAACCACCGAAAACATTATTTTTACTGAGTTCCGCGTCGACCGGCGGCTATACGGCTTGCCGACCCCGGACATCCACAATTAAATAATAATAATTAAATAATGACATGCAGTTAAAAAATATAAAAAAAAAGTAATAATAAAAGTACCAACTCTTAACTATCTTCATTTACATTTTTTTTTTTTTTAATGTAGGTATATGACAAATTGTCAAATAAATTAATTAAATAATTGAAAAATTAAAATGATTTAAAACTTTAAATTCGTTTCTGAAATATCTGAAAACGCTTAGATGCTAAAAATACAGAAAAAGCGCATTTATGTTGTAGCTAAGTTATGTACGAAAAATAAAATTTTAGATAATTTAATGTAATTTTTTTCGTTTATTATTCATACACAGGAAAATGTATTAAATCGACAATTATTATTAAAAAAAAAATAGTATGCACTGAAGAACATCGAAGCCGTTATTGTTTTGTAATTTGGTTAGCTATCTTAAATATTAAGCGTTTTAAAAACTAAATTCGCGTTGCTGGGTACGGCGAAGGAGGATTTCGCCGGACCTGGCACAACATACGTTCCGCCAGGTCTTTGTCTACTACAGTGTACTAGACAAAGAGAACGATGAAATCGTAAGCTGCTACGAAGTCGAAACATCGAGCATAATGCATTCCTGGATACGGCGTGCCGAAATCTCGCCGGCAAAGCGTGTTTATCAGCATTTAAAATTAGCAACAAATGCTTTATTTTGTACCTACAATATAATAAAATATATTTTTAATATATATGATCTATCCTAACGTACATTCAAACTTTATTTCTTTTTTTATTTTCTAATTTCAACGCTTACTAAGTATTTTAAAATGACTGGTACGGCGTGGCCGACCCTGCCGCCCCTGACCAGCCGCCCCTGAATATTATCAATAATAAAATGAATTAAATTAATGTGATTAATGCATATTACTTGGTCTTAGTAGTTAGTAATGATAGAAGTCTTGCCTGAATACCGTTCATTTCCCAGTCAGTAGTGGGTCCTAATAATAGTAATAATAATAATAATATTAACACCCATAACACATTTAATCAACAATGTTTTTACAAGTCAAAATTTTGTTTAAACTAGCACTTTCTTGGAGGGATTCGGCAATAGTTGTGTTCCTTTCTAAATCTTTTAAGCCCATGAAATTTTTAATGTGTACTTTGGAACTTTTATGTAACTTTGCACTTCGAATGAAATTCTTTAAATCGTTATATCCCGGAGACGTCGTCCATGTGTTTTTTACATTGCCTAAGAGTAGACACGGCCAACAATATAGACTTTCAGCATAAATATTACGGCTACGGCAGAGCCGTTTATGTTTCGTACCAGGCTGGTTTAAAAGACCTGGAGTACTGATGACACTGTCGCTTATCAATGGAAGTTAACGGTTTTGACTGTTCGATATTTAGCAAAATTTACCGACGTTCTAACTCGGTTCGTCGTGAAAACGGCGTTTCAAGAAGCAACATGACAATATCGTACTCGGGATTCATTTTTCACTCACCTGTACCCTGTACCTATGAAAGAGACAAAAACACGAAACACCAACTCCTGGACTTTTATTCACGTTTATGCTAATTACCCACGCACCCTGCACCCCTTCCATTCTGTAAAATAAATGGGAAAATGGTTTAATGGGTCCGCCGAAATTGGCCGAGAAGCATCGAAGATATCGCCTCAGTTCCGAGCGAATTCATGTATAGGAGTATAGCAGCTGAGTCATGGAAATCCGTGTCTGTGATTGGGCTTCATTGGCTTAAGTGAACCGACGCTCTGGCCGCTTCAGTTAAAGAATTCGGGGGATAAATCGTACAGTATTCAACGGAAAATGTCCGCAGAAAGTGTAAAAAATAAAAAATAATCTACAGATTTACCATTTCAACATATTTTTGTAACTAAAAATGCATTGAAAGGTCTTTTTTAATTATAAATTAAGTCAATCTGTTCTTAAGATATATGCTGTGAGGCGCCGCCTCACTTGCCTCATATGACGAGCCGCCACTGCCTAATAATTATATCAAGATCTTGCTTTTTACTATTTTGTTATGAGCGAACAGGTTTCGAGGTATTTCTATTTTCCCAAATACTCAGGGTCCTAACTTTTACACTGATTTATCTTTTACATATTAAAATTAGATTTAGTTTTAATTAAAACTAAATACTGAATTACACTTTTGTCACAGTTTCTTAGTTCAAGAATTTTATTCTTGACAATGGTGTCTACTATTAGAGACCCTAGATATACTTTGGAAAAGAGTTGTGACACGATACGTCAAAATTAATGGTAGCACGTAGACGTCGAAAAGAATGGTCGTCGTCTGCTGCGTACGAAACTGCAGTAATACAAACGCAAATGGTTTCTCATTGTTTAAATGCCCCGAAAACGAGATATTACGTAATAAATGGGATCCTTGGGAAGATTCTACATTTTTAAAAAAGACAATTGGGACCCCTGAGAAATTGTTTAGAGAAATATGGATTTTGCAATTAAACTCCGTCCCTCGATCTGATTACAAATGAAGAACTCATTAAAAATGAAATCGAGGTGGGTTTTTTCCTCAAGACGTTTCGATTTTTCAATTTTTCGATTTGTTACACATTCGGTTTTCCAATTTTTCTACATATTTCTCGATTTATGGAGATTTCGACTTTTTGATTGTCCGATTGTTTAATTTCCCGATTTTTCTAATTTTAGAATTTTCGATTTCTTTAATTTAAAAGTTTCTTTTTAGTGTATCTCATTTTCCACAAAAAAATAGACAATATTCCCCGAATCAAAGAAAACAGTGGTTAAAACTGCGTTACAAATTTCCATTAATAATAGAGATATTTGTTTTTAAAAAATGTAATAAAAAATTTCACTTCTTCGCTGATTCGATGCCCTCATGGGTCATTTTTTTTACACTATGATTGGTATTATCATTTTTTTTATAGTGGACTTGTTTGACTAGTACTTCAGAAGCGAGGGAAGTTCTAATGAAAGTCCGCTACATATATCTTATTCCAAAGTATATCTAGGGACACAAGTGTCTACCTTCTGTGATATCGATCGAGAGAATAATAAAAAATTGGTCTAAAGAGTTTAGACAGTACTTCCCTCGCTGTCGGAAACGTGACGACTGCATGCCTATTATGTTTTTTTTCGCAGTGGATTTCAAAGAATTCGGTTTTGTAGTTTCTGAGTAAATCAGTAAAATAAATTTACGCATTCATTAATTTTTTTGAGTCACCCTGTATATGCAAATCCAAAAAATATGAATGGAGTGATAGATCACAAGTACAGACTGATCATATTTTGTACATTTTAGATATGATTTATTCGGCAAACTTTCGAGCTGACGTCATCAAGTTTTTGGAGGGGATAAGCAAATATATTTTGACTAAACATTTATTATGCTCTTTATGACCTTAAAACATCTGCAAGATTTCAGAGCATTCGGTTTTGTAGTTCCTGATTAAATCAAAAAAATAAATTTACGCATTCATTAATTTTTTTGAGTCACCCTGTATATGCAAATCCAAAAAATATGAATGGAGTGATAAATTACAAGTACAGACTCATCATATTTTTACAGTTTAGATAGGATTTATTCGGCAAACTTTCGAGCTGACGTCATCAATTTTTTGGAGGGGATAAGCAAATATATTTTGACTAAACATTTATTATGCTCTTTATAACCTTAAAACATCTGCAAGATTTCAAAGCATTCGGTTTTGTAGTTTCTGAGTAAATCAGTAAAATAAATGTACACATTCATTAATTTTTTTGAGTCACCTGTATATGCAAATCCAAAAAATATGAATGGAGTGATAGATCACAAGTACAGACGCATCATATTTTGTACATTTTAGATATGATTTATTCCACAAACTTTTGAGCTGACGTCATCAAGTTTTTGGAGGGGATAAGCAAATATTTTTTGACTAAAGATTTATGATGCTCTTTATAGCCTTAAAACATCTGCAACATTTCAAAGCATTCTGGTTAGCAGATTAAAAATTAAATTTCAAAATGTTGTTTTATAATTTTGATTTTTTTTCCAAAAATCTGGACGTTTCGGGTGAAAAGTCGATTCGGAGTTGTAAACTACATGTGTAGGACTATGTTATTTTATACAATTGAAAACCCGTTTACTATGTACAATTTTGAAGTGACGTCATAGCATTAGTGGTGGGAATGATTAGACAAATTTTGGTTAGCGTTTTACCATCTACATGATATTCTTAATATAAGTACAAAATTTCACAACAATCGGTCCAGTACTTTCGGAGATTATCTGTCTAATAAAAATCCGGGACGGCAGACGGACAGACGGACAGAC